AATAAGTTTTGATGTAAAATCGACCTTTTTTTATCGCCTTTGTAGGCAGACGAGTATACGACCCACCTGACGGTGAGTGGTTACCATCGTCCATGGGTTTCAGCAATGCCAGGGGCAGAGCCAAGCCGCTGCCTACCGCTTAATACTCTCCACAAGCCTCTTTTGAAGAGGGCCATGTCCTATCCCTAGTTTCATCCATAGATAATAGAGGCCTTTGTAAACATCATTTTAGCGCGTATTTATTTGCCTAGGAAATATTGTAAAGGTAAAATTCAAACCTCATTATTTCTATACTAACTATGCTAAGCTTAGGCCACTTTTGCGCTGACAGTTTTATTTAGTATTAATTGTCACGACAGTACCAAACCTTATCGATTAGAAGTCTTTCACAAGGAGGTGGCACATTAAAGGATTAGTAATATATAATAACTAGCTGACCCGGCAGAAGCTTTTGTATAAAATAAACTGAAAACAAATAAAAGGAATCCGTCCGACAGGGGACACCACACCAAAGGAAAAACAAAATTGTTATTTTTATTAAATTCCGAGCATTTTCATATTTATCTACCTTTTAAACCTTCTCTGAACTTCTACAAATAATTCAAGACCAAAATTAGCCAAATCGGTCCAGCCGTTCTAGAGTTGTAGCGAGACTAACGAACAGCAATTCATTTTTATATAGAGATAGAAGATAGATATATAGATTGACATAGCATCAAGTAGAGGAACGTGGTTAATGTCTCATCATATTGTAAATACCACAATGGTAGGCAGAGTTTGGTGATATTATTATTTATCAATAATAATTGAAATAAATGTTTTAAGTTTAGACACTAGCTTTGGTTGTGAAGCGAGCTAGTATTAGATTATCCTTTTCTAAAAAGGAAACAAGCTGTTACTCAAATGAAATTCACGATTACATCCTCGCATCTTGTGGGGTGAATTTGTAACATGATCGTTAGCAATTATCAGCAGCAAAAATTTCCTACCTAATTTAATCCAAAGAAATGTCTAAATATGTATATTCAAGAACAAATCTCTGAATCGAAAGCAAAGGACGGGATATCAACATGTTAGCTTTTTTCTTATTGCTTAGATGGGTGGACGAGCTCACGGCCCACCTGGTGTCAAGCGGTTACCGGAGCCCATAGACATCTACAACGTAATAAATGCTGCCAACTACCTTGAGATATGGGTTCTAAGGTCTCAGTTTACAGTCCAACGGTTGACCCACCCTTCAAACAGAAACACATTAACTGCTTAACGGCAGAAATAGACAGGGCGGTGGTACCTACCCGTGCCGACTCACAACACGTCCAACCACCAGTAAAGTTCAGTTTTAAAATGTAACTGTAATTGGTTTTTTGCAGAAAATTAGTTCGTGGTTTACATATAGAATTTTGTTTATAATGTTAAGGCCAGTATTAGCAACACACCCGGTTTAAGCTCCGTGAGCTCACCTACACGCCAAGGAGCTGAAATAACCTTTCAAGGCTATTTCAGCTTCATCATCAGGATAGGTAGGAAAAAAAATTAGTAAGGTCTTTAGATTTTGACATTCGCAAATGTGTAAGCACTTAATTAAGATACAATTTTTCAAACTAAACACACAAACAGCTCGAATTAACATGTCTTAGGTTACAAGGGTCGCGTGTTACAACCGCCGAGCCGACCTCGACCGCAATAAGTTCAAAGTCACATCGATTTAAGGCAGATTCACACGGGACGTCTTTCTGAGTGAACGATGCGGACGAGATTCGTTAGGGCAACTTGCTGTTATGTGGTGGTTTTACTGGTGGTAGGACATCTTGAGAGTCCGCGCGGGTAGGTACCACCACCTTACCTATTTCAGCCGTGAAGCAGTTATGCGTTTCGGTTTAAAGGGTAGGGCAGCCGTTGTAACTAACTATACTTGAGACCTTAGATATCGAGAAACTCGATATCTCAAGATGGGTGGCGCATTTGCGTTGTAGATGTCTATGGGCTCCAGTAACCACTTAACACCAGGTGGGCTGTGAGCTCGTCCACCTGTATGAGCAATAAAAAAAAGTGGTTTACTGGAGTCTTGGACATCAGTACGTGGATGAGACACGCAGAACCGACTCACGATCTCTTTTAGTAGGTGGTAGACTTCGAGGATATTACTGGTGATAGGACCTATTGTGAGTCCGCGCGGGTAGGTACCACCACCCTGCCTATTTCTGCCGTGAAGCAGTAATACGTTTCGGCTTGGAGGGCGAGAAGCCGTTGTAACTATACTTGAGACCTTAGAACTTATATCTCAAGGTGGGTGGCGCATTTGTCGTAGATTTCATGGGCTCCAGTAACCACTTAACCCAGGTGGGCTGTAAGCTCTCCACTCATCTAATAAAATAAAAAAGGATAAATCCTCTTCATCATGACTTCAATCAAGATATAGAAGAAGTTAGAAGACAGAAGGAGAACTTTCTGGGCAGAACTCTTACAGTTGATAAGTCTTGCCCGCATCAAACCTGTACGAGAATCGCAGTGTAAGTCAGGCCTTAAACGCGATGAATCATGACTAATGACATGTTACATGTAGGCAAGTTTTTCATTATTGATTCGTAACCTTATTTTCTGTTAAGATTTATTTATTCTTCAACCGTATACAAAGTTTATATAAGTTGTAGCAGAGTCCCGCGATGTTACCCGCGATTATTTTCGTATCGCGGGTGACGCCGCGGGGCGAATCTAGTCTAAAAAAAACAGCCTAAGTTACTCCTTAGATCAAGTGCCATCGACTTTTACGATAATTTTACTTGGGTAATCAACATACTGTATCATTTTAAATTTATCTAAAACAGCATATCTCTCTTTAGTGCAACTAGGCTAGTTTTTCTTGAGTGTCTATTGTAAGGTCCTTCCATATATAGTCACTAATTACGACGGACTGGTGAACAAAACGAAAGTGGATAAGATACGGCAATTCGTTGCATAGATTGAAACGTTATCTTAATACAGTATTAATTTCGTACCCAAAGGCCTGTACACACAGCTTTATATTTGTTCAGGTTTTGATTTTTACTGGTAGACGAACCCATAGCTTTACGGTTGGTATTAGATGATTACTACCAAGACGCGATCGTTTATACGCCCTATCAAATTAGGGCTCTGGATATCAGATAAATACGGTTATTTAGCAAACATGAGCTAAATCCATGACCAACCTGTTTTAAGCACCTTGTCTCCTTGGACTGATAACTCTGACATAGACACGTGAATATTAAGTGCCTGTACACAAAAAAAATCTTACTAGCAGTACTGGGTAACATGAGAAAACGAAGTCAGATATGATAGGAAATGGACTATAGGAAATTAGCAGCATATTCATATTTTTAAAGCACCTAGACAGACTATCGTATAGCAGACATTGGCTATGCCAAAAGCACAAGCCAGGGCAACTCACCACCAAAACTTATTCATACTTTTATATCAGATTATTTTCATAAAATAGTCAATGGCTAGACAGATCTAGCAAAGCCCAAGGTCATTGCTATTTTGTATACAATTTTCAGTTCAGCATATTACAACTGATATAAGACAGTATAATATGATGTTACAAGAAGAATATGTTATTATTCTCCAATGACAGAACTAATTTTCTACTTCACATCAAACCATTGCAACAAAGCTGGTATAACTTTTTTGCAAAAAATGCTACCCCGTCTTTAAGCAATTTCAGTAAATGCAAAGTAATAAACATTATACATAAAACAAAAGATAATACTATGTAAAATATGCTGATTACAATTTGAGTGATGGTTTTAAGATAATGAGTGGTGATATTTCTTGATACGAACAAAATAATATTTAGTCAAAGCTTGCCCTAGAGGTCTGAAAATTGGAATAAATTGTTATCATCATCATTCTTTCCTATGCTCCTATATTCTGCTGGGGTGTAGGGCTCGAATCAAATTTTTCCATTCATAGTTATAGTAAGCTTATTGTTTTTCTTAATTCAGTTGTGTGCAATGTTACAACCAGATTGAAATTATAAGACATATTTATTCCACTCACTGTACTGAATTACTAACTTAAGATAGCCATCAAGGGTGATTTTTATTTAAATTCACATAAAAAAAACTTGAGTTTTTTATTATTGATATTTAAATTAATACTATCCATAACAGTTAATATTTTATAATATATTGATTGAATCACAACTGTTGTGTTAGTGTGATTCATACACAGCAATAAGGAAAATAATGGTCCTATGATAAAATTTAACGGAATACTTCAGTATTTATAGTATTTTGGTCGTTCATGATTCACCTAAACAATTAAACTTTAGTTTCGTTTGGGAATTTCTTAAACATACCTAAAATATATAAAAAAATGTTTATGACCTTGACTTTCATAGGGCAATGCACCGAATTTCTTGTTAAAATTAAAATAATTTACGTTATCCTTAGGTCCACGTAGGTCTGTATGCCCCAAAATAGACAGGAGACGAAGTGACAACCAGCGCCTCAATCGCTATACCTTATATGGTCAAAGTAATTGCGATTGCGCGAGGATGCATTCACTGCAGAGTTCGTTGCCCCCTGTGTTCCTACGATACTGATAACCCTGAATTAAAGCTATAAAGTACTAGATTACTGAAATTTACGGTTCTGAGTCGCGTACGGCCCTCCAAAAAAGTCGAAAAAGGCGTTGTAAGAATAACCTTTCAATGAGACATGAAATCCAATACCCAGTGACAAATTTGATACGGTCATTGGGCGAGGCTCGAGAGCAAAATCAGTCAATAATCGCCATAGTTAAGAGACAACACGTGGCATAAAATCACTGAACAGTGACAATATATTTTAACGAAAAGGCGTGCGAAGTCTGCCGTGGACTATGCGAAATATGGCGGCACCGGTCCTATTAGATAGTATTCCCGTGTTATTGCGATGATTGTAAGTGATAAATCGTTTCGAAGATATAGAAAAACACAAAACCATTGCGCAGGTTTAATTTTGATTTTTGTCACTTACCATTTTTTGATGTTATTCACGTAAAAATTACACCACTAACTTCACCGACACCACGACAACGGCAACCGGAACGACACTGTTCGGAATGTTGGTAAGCCCTTTTTGACGGCAGCCAATAAGCGCATGCGTCAAAGTAATAGGTGAAGTCAATACAGTATCTTTTATAATGAAATTATCATAGAAATTTTCCAACTTTGCTGTCACAAAATTGAAATTATCACAAACTACTTAATTATAGATTGATATAAATTAAAATTCTGTCAAATTTATTGTCACGTAAATTTATCAAGACGACAACGTAACAATAATCACTAGAACTTTTTGACACTGCTCTCTTCAGTGGTTGATAATTTATATCAGTAGGTACTTAATGTTAAAATAATGGAGATAAAATATAAAATCCGACCGGTGTTGTTGAGATTAGATATGAGAGTACAGAATATGTACGTTTCAACGTAACAGATAAAAATAAAATTGTCAGGAATTATTATCAACTTCGAATGTGAGTCACAAAGTGACGGTAGCTGTTCAGCCAATCAGAATTTATTATTCAACAAATGCCCATATAGGGATTGCAGGAAAGAGCAATGTCACGAGTTTAAAAATTGGCGCTAATTTGATGACCCAATCTTTTTTGTGAGATTATCAAAAAAATAGCGCGACGAATAATAATTGCATTCGAGTTCATAGAGATTGATAAAAGTCACATAGCCTAGTATTATGGTATGTCATTGGAATGACTGGCAGAGACATAGACGCTATTCAAACAGTGGGACCGATGACCGATGACCGATTTTAGATCCTAACTCATACAATTACTATAAAATTATTTTATAATTTATATCAATAACCGCGTTCTATTCTCAAGAAGGTTTTTTAACAGTCTTCAATATTGGCATTGCCTGGATTGCATATATTGGAGTGCTTTAATTGCACTGCATGTCCTGTCGGAGGCAGTCGTGGGTTCCATACAGATATGTACTACATGATTCCTTTATTTTTTGTCTAAATAAGTCGTCGTGGCCTAAAGGATAAGACGTCCGGTGCATTCGTATGTAGCGATGCACCGGTGTTCGAATCCCGCAGGCGGATACCAATTTTTCTAATGAAATACGTACTCAACAAATGTTCACGATTGACTTCCACGGTGAAGGAATAACATCGTGTAATAAAAACCAAACCCGCAAAATTATAATTTGCGTAATCACTGGTGGTAAGACCTTTTGGGAGTCCGCACGAGTAGGTANCGTCCGGTGCATTCGTATGTAGCGATGCACCGGTGTTCGAATCCCGCAGGCGGATACCAATTTTTCTAATGAAATACGTACTCAACAAATGTTCACGATTGACTTCCACGGTGAAGGAATAACATCGTGTAATAAAAACCAAACCCGCAAAATTATAATTTGCGTAATCACTGGTGGTAAGACCTTTTGGGAGTCCGCACGAGTAGGTACCACCACCCCGCCGATTTCCGCCGTGAAGCAGTAATGCGTTTCGGTTCGAAGGGTGGGGTAGCCGTTGTAACTATACTGAGAAGGTGGGTGGCGCATTTACGTCGTAGATGTCTATGGGCTCCAGTAACCACTTAACACCAGGTGGCCTGTGAGCTCGTCCATCCATCAAAGCAATAAATAAAAAAAATACCTGTACATGGCTTCAAGGAGTTATCCTATCATCGTGACTGATCGAACGATCTCACGGTACTCAGTCTGAAAGAATTTGCTAATATATGCCCTAGCAAGAAGCTGCTTTCAGACTACGTTATATACTATAGTGCCATATAGTATAGCAGCCTATACTTAGTCAACAATATATAGTACACGGTCTCGATAGCGTAAAAGTTTATCCAACTTTGTATGCAGTTGGAACAGCGCCCCTAGCGGCAAACGTAGGCATTAGATCCCATTCCATACAAATATGAGCTAACTTTTACGCTATCGAGAACGTTAAAAAAACTCGCAATACTAACTAAGCACACAGTAGTGTGAACGTGTCCTTAACAATGTATGGTGAGCGATATTGTTGTGCTATGAGCTATATACTAGATATGAGTCGACTAGTATCAAAGCCGGCAATGTGACTTTTGGATAATTATTGGTAAATCAGAAAAACGAATTATTGACTTTGTATTCCATTGGCAGTCACAAAACTCTTCTGAACGACATCTTAGATAAATAACAGGTTAAGTATTAACCTTTATATGCAGGTTTTGAACCGTATTCTTTGAAGGAGACGATTATATTCAAATTAATCTGTATTGACATATCAATAAAAATTTTTTGTCCAAATGCACAGATTGCCACCTTTGATAATAGACGACTCATATATGCTATTATATTATAGCGTAGTCTGAAAGCAGATAGAGAAGTGCTTCGCTGAATCTACAAAAGGATCGTAATGGCGAGTCATTGATAAGCTCCGACGAGAAACTCAGTGGATTAGTTCCTTGCGTGTTGAAGTTGCAGCTTCTGAGCCCATACTTCATAGATCCGCCTACTACAATACGTTTAAGTTTCATTAAAGTCTGTACACACATAATCGTAAGGTTACCGATGCATATAACCATTTTGTTTAGATAAATAATTTTGATGTTTTTTTTTATTGTTTAGACGGATGAAAGAACTCACGGCCACTTGATTTAAAGTGGTCATTGGAGCCCATAGACATAAACGTCACCACACACCTTGGCACTTGAATCTAAGCATGAGTTTTGTAGTCTAACGATTAATTTTAAATTAAGTAATGTGTTCCATATAGCTGTAAGGTGGGTGGTATCAGCGGGAGCTCATAAGGTTCCCTCCCACCAGTATTTACGCAAATCATAATTTTTGCCGCTTTGACTTTCATTACACGACGTTATTCCTTCATCGCAGAAGCAATCTGTTAACTTATGTGAAGTACAAATTTCATTAGAGAAATCTGTGTGCATAATGCGAGTTTTTTAACGTTCTCGATAGCGTAAAAGTTAACTTATGTTCGTATGAAGTTAGAACGTTTGCCCCTAAGGCGCTGTTCCAACCGCATACAAATTGAGTTAACTTTTACGCTTCCACAAACGCTTGCGACGGGCTCGACGAGTAAATTAACCTTCAGACACAGCCCACTGAGTTTCTCACCGGATCTTCTCAGTGGGTCGCGTTTCCGATCCGATGGTAGATTCTGCGAAGCACGGCTCTTGCTAGGGTTCGTGTTAGTAACGTCGTCAGGTTTGAGCCAAGTGAGCTCACCTACTAGTTAAGGTTACGCTGAAATAGCCACTCGAGGCTCTCGAACAAGTAGGAAAAAAAAAAATGTTATAAAAAAAAAACGATTTATTTCCCTATGAATTGCCGACATATTTATAGTATCTCTTGTACATGGTGTACAGGTTGGCGGCGGTGAGGTGTCCTGGCGAGCCGGCCAACGCGCGGCGCAGGAAGGGCGCGGCGTGCGGGCAGTCTGCGGCGCGCGTGAGGAGCGCCACGCAGGTCTCGGCGTGCGAGCGCACGGGCCGCGCCGGCGCCCCGCGCTCCAGCAGCGCGCACAAGTCACCCACCGCGTACGCCGCCACACGCGACACTTGCCTCTTCCGTTTCGTTATCGATTGCGTTAACCTGGAAAACGAATGTACAGTGTGCTTAGGGCGAATTCTTTAACGTTCTCGATAGCGTAAAAGTTAACTCCGATTTGTATGGAGCTAATACGTTTGCCCCGCTAGGGGCGCTGTTTCAAATACATACAAAGGACAATGCCCAAAAGTGGGCCAACTTTGTGTCAAAACTATTTGTACTTGAAAAGCTATGCCTTTTTTTTCACGTTGTTTAGTTTATGTATCAACATTTCTTTCACCCTGGCATTGTTTTACAAAAAAATAAATTATTTAATTGATAAATCCGAAAACTAAGTACCATCGTTTTTAAATTCGCCAATAGGCAGACAAAGAACTTAGCCAATACAGCCTTATAGTAAACCTAAATGCTGCCAAACGAAAGAGTTGCCTGTGACTTGAACAACAAATTAAAAAAAAATAGCTAATGCTAATCGTTGTTCACGATTATGATGCATTGAAATAAAACTGTGGCTAACATAGCAGTGACTGTTTTTTTTTTTCAAGATAAAAGGTCTGTGGAAACTCACGCTCAGTCAATGTGGTATTCGTCGAGTTGACGTGAAAACTCTCAAAAAGCAATAAAGAGATACACCTCCTTTTTATTGACATGAAAATAATATAACTACGACAGACTAGGCTGTATAGGCTCTTCGCCTGCCTATTGGCGAATTTAAAAACAACAACAACAATATCATTGCCGGCTTCCGGATTTACATTTCCGAAAGAAGGGTCAATGAAGTCCATTCTCAGGAACCACCTTCATTTTATGATTATTATGAGGATATAATAATAATAAAATGTACTTAAGGGCTTATTTCTAGCAACATTAACCACAAATAACTTATTTAACACTGTAACTAATTATGAGAGCGATTATTGATTTCGAAGAAAACGATTAACAACTTAATTTTAGCNCGGATTTACATTTCCGAAAGAAGGGTCAATGAAGTCCATTCTCAGGAACCACCTTCATTTTATGATTATTATGAGGATATAATAATAATAAAATGTACTTAAGGGCTTATTTCTAGCAACATTAACCACAAATAACTTATTTAACACTGTAACTAATTATGAGAGCGATTATTGATTTCGAAGAAAACGATTAACAACTTAATTTTAGCTGCAGAAAAAAACAGATTTCTCTTAAACCTGGGTGAGAATATAAAAATCGTTTTCTGAATATGAAACGATATTTCTTTATCTATCAAATTAAGTTAAAACCATCATGACCCGACAACCATTAATAAACCACTATATCTTATTATTTCATTACTAACATACGCATCCACAAAATACTAATGTTTAAATGAAGCAAAAACTTATCTATATAAATAAAATGAATTGCTGTTCGTTAGTCTCGCTAAAACTCGAGGACCGATTTGGCTAATTTTGGTCTTGAATTACTTGTGGAAGGCCAGAGAAGATTTAAAAGGTTTAGGTAATTATGAAAATGCTCGGAATTAAATAAAAATAACAATTTCGTTTTCTCTTTGACGTGTCCCCCGTCGGACGGATTCCTTTTGTTTGTTTTAAGTTTATTTTATAGAAAAGTTTAGGTCTTTTATTTATCGGTTGAGGCACTACGAAGTCTGCCGGGTCAGCTAGTTTATTAATAAAAAATTGAAATAAACTTACATTTCAATATCGTGAGCGGTCTGGGCAAGTCTCTCCTCGACGTCCCGGTCTGGTTCGGTCTCAGACGTGGTACGCAAACAGACACACAATATTAAAGCTCTGTAGCACTGCATATAGTTTGGCCATCTGTAATAAAAAAAAAAAACCTTATTATACAACATTCGGTCGCACTCGGGCGTCATCGGACGCGATCGGAGTTCCCGAACGCGCAGGTGTCCCGTGACGTCATACTGCGAGATTCGCGCGCGTCGATTTAAGTTTATTGTAAAAACGTAATTTTAGTTTCAATTGGTACCTATCTTGTAGTGTCTAGTTTTGTTTACTCTTTTTAATTTATATTATAACATTCATCATCATCATCATTTCAGCCTATCGCCGTCCACTGCTGAACATAGGCCTCTCCAATAGATTTCCAGTGCGACCGGTTCATTGCCACCTGCATCCAACGAGACCCAGCGCTTTTTACTAGGTCGTCGGTCCATCTAGTAGGTGGCCGTCCCACACTGCGCTTGCCAGTACGTGATCGCCACTCCAGGATCTTTCTGCCCCATCGACCGTCCTCTCTTCGTTCTATATAACATTGTACACATTATAATAATATATATTGTTGAATTGGTGTGTTTGTCTTTTATATGTTCGGAGTAAAATATCCCACGAATACGAAAAACAAATAACAAACCACATACTAATAAGGAGGCTAATTCAAAAAAAAGAACGTCGTCAATACAAACTGGACTTTTTGGCGGGAACGCGAGGAGTGAAGTTGTGTGATTTGTTTTATTTTGTCTATTTAGTGTTTCTTCAGGTTTAAATTGTGTAATAACGGTGGTTTATTGACTGTTTAGTATCTGTGAAAGTGCATAAATGTGGGAAAATTAAACAAAGCCGCTGGACGTAACTTCTCGGGATCCTCCAAAAAGTCCACTGAAAAAATCTCAGCAAATAACCAGCATTTTACTGAGATTATATTTCATCCCATATCATCTCATGTTATTTCATTTAATTTCATCCCAGTTGATTAATGACTTAAATTAATCATCTTCATTTCATTTCATTTCACTCCGTATTATCTTTTTTTTTTTTATTGCTGTAGATGGGTGGACGAGCTCACAGCCCACCTGGTTGTTAAGGGGTTACTGGAGCCCATAGACATCTATGACGTAAATGCGCCACCCACATTGTGATATGAGTTCTAAGGTCTCAAGTCCAGTTAAAACGGCTGCCCCACCCTTCAAACCGAAACGCATTATTGCTTCACGGCAGAAATAGGCGGGGTGGTGGTACTTACCCGCGCGGACTCACAAGAGGTCCTACCACCAGTAAATTTACCACAGTAAACTACCTTTTTCATAAAAATAAAAATATAAATTACAACAAGACATGACCTAATAAAGGTCTTAGTTACCAGGTCATAAAATTCCTTAAAAAATACTACAACCACAACGGACCTGTCCTCTAACATCTCTTCTCTCGACAGCAGCATATTATTAAGAATCGTCAGGCATCCTTCGAACAGCCCGAAGTATGAACGCCAAGTTATTTCGTACTTTATCTCCGTGCTATTGGGGCATATAATCGCGTTGACGATGTGCATTAACGAGAAAACGCTGTCCAGAAACTTGTAGTCCAATGACATCTGGAAAATTAAACACAATTTTGATATAATAACGATATTTTATTTTTTTGATAGTCTTGAGTGGCTATTTCAGTGTAACCTTAACTAGTAGGTGAGCTCACGGGGCTCAGACCTGACAACGTTGCTAACACGAACCCTAGCAAGAGCCGTGCTTCGCAGAATCTACCACCGGATCGGAAACGCGACCCACTGAGAAGATCCGGCGAGCAACTCAGTGGGCTGTGTCTGTGGATTGATTTACTCGTCAAGCCCTTCGTCGCAAGCGAAGGGTTCGACGAGAACGATGACCGGCGCTTGAGCTACCTAAAAGCGCCGTTAATGGATCGGGAGGATCCGAAATGACGTGTAATAACGATAAGGAATGAAGAATAACTATAGATTTTTTTTATGAAGCTCCGAGACAAAAGATGAAGATTTTTTGAGTTTTCTGAAACTGCAGTTTTTTTCTGAGGCTTTATCACTAGTTTAATTCAGTTTATACAATACTAGGGACCTGCCCTCGCTTCGCTTCGGAAACTGTAATTTATTATTTATCTCTCCACTATTTAATGGATGTTATTATACATATAAACCTTCCTCTTCAATCACTATCTATTAAAAATAAATCGCATCAAAATCCGATGCGTAGTTTTAAAGATTTAAGCATACATAGGGACAGAGAAAGCGACTTTGTTTTATACTATGTAGTGATTTTGTTATTCCACAGTAATATTGTAGGAGAATACAACACTTTAGACCGAGTAGCGAGTTCGGTGCACCGATCTAACTTTAACTGTCTCCGACGATCCAACTCGATACGTTTTTATTAGCTTCAGACGTATGTATGTTAGTATGTAAAGGAATCTTTGAACATGATTTTGACCCCCTTCAAAACGTCGGATCAACTCGAAATTTGGTATACTTATTAAGGACTGATGACAATTCAATATTTTAAAAAAAGATTGAAAAAATTGAAATTCAACTAAAAATGAAAAATAAGTAATAGTTTAAAAAACTAACGAAATACGCTTTTATAGAAAATCTAACTAAAAAATAGAAAACAAATTTTAATAAATTTGAATTAAAAATAGTATAAGAAAAAATGATTTTATTGTAAAAAAAAGCGTGGGGTGCATGGTGTCAGTAGTTATAAATATTTTATTAACAGATATCAGTAGAAGGGTTATTTTGATAATATCCTGAAAAGCACCCCACGCTTTTTTACAATAAAATCATTTTTCATTATGCATGTAAACAAGAATCAACTCGACTCATTGCTTCCGTGATCCGTGATTGCATCGCAGACCTGTATCGTAAATACAAACAAAGGCTCACCTTCTTCGCCGACAGAATAACTTCCGATAAATTGTCCATATTAATTTTAATTATCTCGCAGATCTTATCTTCGATCCTAACGATTTTCACGTTCCGCTCATCGTACAAATCGATTTTCTTTCTCTTCTTACTGGCAACACTGTCCCACTCGTAGTGTTGCCGCAACCAGAACCTCAGGCTCTTGCACGTGCGAGCTATTACCTTCGTTAAGGCGGCACATTTCGGACCGACTATGTTGGCCTTTAAGCACTGCGCCCAAATGTATCGGGATACTTTATGTGAAGTCAAGTCACCGTTTGATTTGTCTTTAAGCATAATCGCCGGTTTCTGTAACGAAATGAAGTTAATTATTAACGGTTCTAAATACAGTGGTACCGAGTTAAAATCCCACGCAGATTTTGTATATTCTTCTGTATTTACTGGAGTTCGCGCGGGTAGGTACCACTGCCCCGCCTATTTCTGCCGTGAAGCAGTAATGCGTTTCGGTTTGAAGGGCGGGGCAGCCGTTGTAACTATACTGAGACCTTAAAACTTATATATCAATCGACGAGCTCAAAGCCCACCTGGTGTCAAGTGGTTACTGGAGCCCATAGACATCTAAAACGTAAATGCGCCACCCACCTTGAAATATAAGTTCTAAGGTCTCAAGTATAGTTACAACGGCTGCCNATATTTTATTGTAAAAAAAGCGTGGGGTGCACGGTATCAGTAGTTATAAATATTTTATGAACAGATATGAGTAGAAGGGTTATTTTGATAATATCCTGAAAAGCATCCCACGCTTTTTTTTACAATAAAATCATTTATTCTTACACTATTTTAAAATTCAAATTTATTAAATTTATTTTCTATATTTTAGTTGGATTTTGTGTAAAAGCGTATTTTGTTAAGTTTTTTTTTAAACTATTATTTATTTTCAAATAGCATAAAAAAGCGGCAATGTAATACACGAAATGAATTCAAGTCTTCGTGAATTCATTTTGTGTAATTACATTGCCGGTTTTGTTAAGCTATTGGAAATCTACATAATATATAAAAATTAATTGCTGTTCGTTGGTCTCACTAAAACTCGAGAAGGGCTGGACCGATTTGGCTAATTTTGGTCTTGAATTATTTGTCGAAGTCCAGAGAAGGTTTAAAAGGTAGATAAATATGAAAATGGAATTAAATAAAAATCGGAATTTAATAAAAATAACAATTTTGTTTTTCCTTTGATGTGGGGACACATCAATCGGACGGATTCCTTTTGTTTGTTTTAAGTTTATTTTATACAAAAGTATAGGTCTTTTATTTATCGATTGAGGCACTACGACGTCTGCCGGGTCGGCTAGTAAATAATAGTTTAAAAAAACTAATAAATTCGAGCGTCAGTGATTACGGTCGATTTTCCCTAAGCACACATACAGCTCGAACTCACCTTCAGAAGCGACAAGTTCATCAGTTCCTCGGCGACGTTGGCGACGAAGCACTCGACCGACATCGACTCGCACACGGACCTCAGTGTTGCCGACCCGTCGTCCAGGCAACTAGCGCTCACTTTCCCGGAGAATACTATCGAGAGCCTAGTTTTGAGGCTGCGCCATATTCTCGAGAACAATTTGTCTTTTTCTTTGAAGATTTCGTGAGTATCGAGTTTCTTGATGTGCCTTAGCATTACGTTCAATAGGCCAAGAGAGGATTCGATCTGTTGAGATTCGGATGTCGCTTCTTCTATAGTGCGGGTCTGAAATATGCATACGTAAGTACTATTTTTTATATTTTTATTGCTTAGTTTTTTTTTATCCTACCTAGCTGAGAGCCTTGAGAGGCTATTTCAGCGTAACCTTAACTAGTAGGTGAGCTCACGGGGCTCAAACCTGACAACGTTGCTAACACGAACCCTAGCAAGAGCCGTGCTTTGCAGAATCTACCACCGGATCGGAAACGCGACCCACTGAAAAGATCCGGCGAGAAACTCAGTGGGTTGTGTCTGTGGGTTAATTTACTTTAGTTAATTAGAACGATGACCGGTGCTTGAGGTATCTAAAAGCACCGTTAGTGGATCGGGAGGATCCGAAATGACATGTTTGGGGCGACGTCGGCTGCTTTCCATTGTCCGCAGGATCGGGAATGATTGCTTAGATAGGTGGACGAGCTGTTAAGTGGTTACTGGAACCCATAGACATCTGCAACGTAAATTCTGCCACCCACATTGAGACATGAGTTGTAAGGTCGCACTTTTAACAGTACAACGGCTGCCCCAACCTTCAAACCGAAACGCATTACTGCTTCAAGGCAGAAATAGGCGTGGCGGTGGCACCTACCCGTGCGGACTCACAATACCTCCTACTACCAGTTACTACCAAAGTTCATTTGCTAACACAAATTTCCATATAGAATGTGAAAATACTTACAGAAGTTTCAACAAAAAATTCGAGTCCCTTTAAGACACATTCCATTTCATTAGCTTCATCCGGTTTCGTGGCTTCACAATATTTCGAGAGAGTCAACGTGTAAGCCGCCATTGCATTCAGTGTTGCCGCATTACTTTCTACCAAACTATTTTCGGGGTTGCCAGAAATATTTTTTACGAAACTACCATTCACGAAATCTATATTCTTGAAAGCTTTTAAAAGTTCTCTATGCAATTTGTCCTGTAGATCGGCCAATATGGATCTGTGGGCGCTCGCTGTCAACGCTTTTTTCTGTTTCGCGATCAAAGGCAATATAATGCAGCTTATTTGAAAAGCCGGCTCTCTGAAGCCCTCAATACTGTTCAAAGCTTTATTTTCCTTATTTATTATTAGTTCTACTAATTTCTTAACAATTTCGCTGTTCGCCTTAACTCTCTTCACGGAAGACGCCAGTATGTTTTTTATTACTAAAAGATTGTTCGATGTTTTATTTGTTAGTGTTAATAAATCGATCATGATTCCGTCTTCAAATGAGAAGACAAAGTCAACAGGAAATATTTTGTATAGATCTGGAGGTTGAAAGCCCAATTCGAAGATGCTCTGAATCAGGCAATCCGCGTTGCGTCTCAATTTTTTCCCGCCATTCTTCTTTGTTGCCAGTAACACGAAAATAACCGCCAACTGGTAGTTCTCATCCAAATACGGGACTTGCAAATTTTTCAACAATTCTATATAGTTTTTTATGGTATCAAAGTTTTCCGTCGATATTGTGATGTTCAAAAAGTATTCCTTCATATCGATTTTTTTACAAAACGATTTCGTGAAATCGATTTTGCCTATAGCTTTAGCTAACGAGTCGGCGTTATCGAAACATTTCGCTATCTGTTTCACCGTTTCTAGTGTTAAATAATTTAATAGAGCCCTGTTGTTTGAAATGGTGACGTCATTGAATAGCTTTGCATCGCTGTTGCTAGAGTAGCATTGGACTAGGGTCTTAGCTATCTGCTTGTACTGGGACTTTGTTAGATCGTAACAAAGAACTTGCAATACGGTTTGATCGTTTAACATATTATCGATTTTCCGTGCGAACTCACTGACGAGATAACTTTTGATTGGTACCGTATCTTCTTTATTGTCTAAAAGTTCTAATGCCATTGATTTCACTGTTAGCAGCTCATTCTGAAATTTAATGTATAAGGTTAGTCCAACATAAAATGCACCATGATATATTTTTTATTGCTTAGATTATTGGACGAGCTCACAGCCCATCTGGTGTTAAGTGGTTACTGGAGCCCATAGACATCTACAACGTAAATGCCGCCAGCCACCTTGAGATATAAGTTCTAAGGTCTCAGTATAGTTACAACGGCTGCCCCGCCCTTCAAACCGAAACGCATTACTGCTTCACGGCAGAAATAGGCAGGGTGGTGGTACCACCAGTAATTACGCAAATTTTAATTTTGCGGGTTTAATTTTTATTACACGATGTTACTCCTGCATCGTGGAAGTCAATCGTGAACGTTTGTGAAGTACGTATTTCATTAGAAAAATTAGTACCCGCCTGCGGGATTCGAACACCGGTGCATCGCTCAACACGAATGCACCGGACGTCTTATCCTTTAGGCCACGACGACTTAGCTTCTTTTGATATACATATATGAGATGCCGCTTCTATTCTCATCATTAAAATCTGACCGTCGTTCACTGTTGGATATAGGTCTACGACTAAGTCTGGTCTCCGGTTCTCCACTCTAGTGCCCGTCTGCTCTACAGCAAGTAGAGCTCACTGCCACTAGCAGACTCTCTGAGCTATGTCGATGATGTTAGTTTAATTTACTCTACTGAATAGTTCTATTTTTTTAATTTAACATTAACATTAGATGTTTATCAAGTTATGTTGTGTTTGGACATATGAGAAGAGATCGGAAGAAGCGAAAGAAGAGTGCATCTCGTTCCTGTTGAGTCTAATTAGGAAAGGAAAGGAGATACAAGATATCTAAAGATTTTTCTTAAATCTGCATTAACGGGCTAATAAAAATTACATACCAAAACACAGGTTTCTTCATCTTTGATTTTCGACATTAAATCTATCCATTGCGCGCTATTGAGACAGGGCAAAATCGAACTCATATCGAACGTTTCACTGGTCGAGGTTTCAATTTTCAGCTTGTAGTTACTGTACTTGATATTGAGAAGTTTTAATTGCGCGAAGCCCACGCACAGCTTCAGAAATGATAACACTAATGGTGGATTCTGAAAATGTTGAATATTCTTTTTTAGTTACCGTCGACACAGATCATGACAAATGTTACTTAAGTATTGTTACGCCGGTAAGAGTAACGCCATCTATCGCTGAAGGAGCTCTCGAGAAGTACAACGCCATCTATTGTCAGATAGCGGGAATTACTACTAGAGATGTGTAGAATATTCTCGATAATTCTAGGGATGAGGTATCCGCTATAAAAGCGTTGTAGAGATGGCACGCAGTCAGTCAGTAATCGAAACTACTCGAAGCGAAACAGCGGACGGATCATCTGAAGCGAAGCGGAACAAGCGGATTGAGAGTTTTAAAGTGTTTGTTGAGTGTTTTAAATTGTTTGTTGGGTGTTTTAAATTTTCCAAGTGTTGAATACAATTTTTTGTTGTACTATGGTGGAATTTTATTTATCCCGAACCCCAGCGCGTAAGAGTATAATTAATTAATGTTATTATGTCGACTTAATTTTGTGGGTAGGCGAACATGTCTCTGATGGTGAGTGGAAGCCGTACCTCATGGCTATTAGCAATACCAGGGGCATAGTCAAGCCGCTACTAATGATCAGTATGAACCCAGATTTTTACGATAGACATTATATTTAATACCATGCAATATTTTAATCAAAAGTAGATCTTTAAAAAAACCCTATTCTTTGCATTTACTTTCTATGTTCTTTATATGTTCTTTCTTTTTATTATTGATTAATTAAATGATGTCTGCGATGATGATGTATTGTAGCAACGATTTTATATCAGTATCATTTCGATTGATTGAAACCACAAATATATAAATGTACACACGACTTAAGAAGTCAAAAGAAAATTAAAATCATTTAGGTTCGGAATAATTACAACAAGAAAACGGTATTGACTGAAGGAGCAAGGCTGTATACCAAACCACAGAACAACTTGAATAATGATACAAACGTCAATAATATAAAAATACAACTGAAAGCTTACTTGACAATATAAATTTGACAGCTAGCAAAAACTTTAGATACACCTAATAGTAGAGCTATTGAGGATTCAAAAAAAAAATAATCTTAGGTAGTACTCAAATTAAAAATAAAGAAAAAATACCAAATTTCATGATTAAAATATAAGTTCAGATTAACTTTTTTTTTTAATTACACTAGCTACTCATACGATTTTCTGTATATTCCTTAGTAGAATATGTCCATGTAGAATATTATAATACCAAAAAGCCTATGGATTTCATTTATTTGTAGCTTTTGTATATTCTAGAAATGCACAGCAGCATGGAAAATATTACCTTTTTTATTTTTAAATACGTAGTTTGGGTATTACCTGAGATTTGTTTTTTGAGATTTATTTTGTGTCTCCTATAGCTCTACTATGAGGTTTTTCAGGATTTTTTCTGGGACACCCTGTATAGCACTTATTAAATTATTTATTTTCAATGTATGAGTAAAGCTAAAATCGTATTTACATACATAACTAAGCTTCAATGTGCATTCACCGAATCGCTTCAAGCATTCCCTCTCAAATTTCTCGAAAGCGTTCCAAAAGTCTTCCGATATCTGAAACGGAACTGTGTGATCCGCCATTTTGTTATATCGCAAAAACGAAGACAAGATGGCAGCCAAAACTTCCGCTATTGTTATTATTGATGGACCTGGAATTTGTAATTGATATTTTCGTTTAAAAATATATACAATAGATATAAATTAATTTTATTATTTAATTTCTTAGTAAATTCGTAAATGTAATATTTTTAAATTAAAAGTATTTGTAAATTTGTAAATTCGATTCGATTGTAATCGAAAAAAATCCTTTACATTTATTACATGTATTCATTTAAATTGGCGGACTTAATGCTGAAGACATTATCAACCGTTCAAACAAGTGTAATCCAGATAAAGCAATGATAAATGCATTAATAAACAAATTAAAGACACAAATAAGCAAAATGAACCATTATGATGGCTGTCCTTGATGTATAACTATACATATTATATATGTATATTTACTGGTGGTTAGACCTCTTGTGAGTCCGCACGGATAGGTACCAGCCTGCCTATTTCTGTCGTGAAGCAATAATGCGTTTCGGTTTAAAGGATGGGGCAGCCGTTGTAACTATGCTGAGACCTTAGAACTTATATCTCAAGTTATGTGGCGGCATTTACGTTGTAGATGTCTATGGGCTCCAGCAACCACTTAACACCAGGTGGGCTGTGAGCTCGTCCCCCCATTTTAGCAATAAAAAATATATATTTATCACTATAATTATACTCACTAACAAATCCTTCTTCGAGCATCATCAGACAATGTTCTTCAAAATCTTTTTGCAGTAACTCCAAGACTTCCTTATTTTGTCTGAACATCAGCTCTGAAGTGTATTTTCCATAATTTTCAACACATTCCTCAGGAAAAATATCATTTCCGTTTATAATTTTCTTCATTACATTCTCACAATCTGTTCCATTTTCTAAGCAGGCTGTGACGCTTTGTTTTAACTCAAATTGTTCAGTGTTGCTATCCTCCAAATTATTTTTGATATACGGTAGGATTTGACTCAAAAACGGTATGCCGCGGCTCAATTTAAAAAGCATCTCCATTAAGCAACTCAACATATCAACGTAACATTTGTAAGCGTTATGTTTTTTAGCTGTCATGATCGGTGGTAAAATTACAGTCAGCTTTTGCTCAATCAACGTGGGATCCAATTTTAAGGCAGTCTTTATTATATTCATGGTCGCTTTATCTGGTTTTCCATCTAATTTCAACTGCCCCATCATAACCGCTTGAAGGAAAGACATGAAGTTCTTCTTAATTTCAACTTTGCTAATTTTTTCACCAAATGTGTCAGTCAAACGAATACTTATGTCTACTTCGTTTAGTAGTAATATCTCCAAGATGTTCAAGAAGAGGTTTCTTCTGATCTTATCAGCGTTCCCTTCAAATTTTACTGTTTCCAAACTCATAGCTGGTTTTATGAAATCTTGAGGCATACCCAGGAAGTTTACTATCATAATGCAAAAAGCAAACACAACTTGGCTCTCACTATGAAAACAGCTGATAAAAACTTCAATAAAGTCCCTTATGAACTTATCATCTTTCTCACCTTTAGTAACATCAAATAAAGCACTCATAATTTTCAATACAGATTGAATATTATCACCTTTTTCCAGCATTAATTCATTGATGTTGTCCTTTCTGATCAAAGTTTGTAAGTAGCTGATGTAGGATGATTTTCTAGTAATTGGAAACATTACGTTCTGGCACAGTTCAATAATGTCGCTAGAGCATTCCGTACCTAGGAAACTGAAGAGGGTCTCCAAATGATCTTCCGATATAAATTTTATGATAAATTCTATTTTTTTTTTGCATTCCTTGTAATATTTTATTATATTACTTATTAATTGTTTTACGAATGTGACATTTAATTGTTCCTCATGTTTCAAACATAGCAGCACGGTAATGGATATTTTTAAATATTCATCAATGTGTTGATTTAACTGTGGAGTAATTCTTATGTTCCCTAAGAATTGCAGGATGAAGGGTATGTCATTATTTCCAATCGGATTACTTTGTATGTATTGTGAGAGAATCTGAAAATTACATACAAAATTGATTTATTTACATGAATAATTTGTTAGATTAACTTTAGTCTATGTTAGAAGCGGTTGTATTTATTCCTTAATAACAAGGTATCAAAAGGTGGAATTTAATTGAATATGCAATTTCGAAAAGGGCACATGTCTGAAAAAGTAATGTTCAGGAAATGAAAAAAAACTGATTATTTTCTAAAGCAGTGTAAAATTTAAAATATTAACTTTTAGATATATTTTAGTGTTAATTAGCAATTGAAAATTACTGGAATTATTATAAAATGGGTGTAGGTAAGCCACAAAACTACATGTATATGAAAAAACGTATTTGACAAAATATACGACATGTGCCCTTTTCGATAGGTCTTACATAAAACCAGTGACTGGTAGTAAATTAATGCATTATTTCATTGGTATTGGTAACATTGGTAACTTCAGTTAAGTTTACTCAATTCAAACAACTAAAGAAGTTTTTTGTTTTGTTATTTTTTTTCTAAATTTTAAATTTTAAGTAATGTTACACAAACGTCGGATAAACCAAACAGCGTTTTACCCCTCGATATAAAAACAATTGCCGTGTTAATTAGCCTAAAAATAGCTACTCTTAAATCTTTTAATATTCCATCATACCTGTATTAAAATACTCTTCATTTCACTTGTTAAATGATCAGAAACATTGACCCATTCTAAAACGTTACGTAGCTCATCTCTCGGTAGTTCATTTTTAACTGTTAAGGTATGTAGCCAAGTTCCTACAACTCTTTCTTTCGGCGCTGACGGGAAGTGATGGGATTGAATCAGATTTTTGGCTAAGCAAATTCGTTTGGGTAATGGGGTTGCACTGTTGTCCAGGTGACGTTTTAATTCTGGAAGTTTTAACAATAATGTTAATTATTAATATTTATTTATGTGTAGACAAGCAAAACTATAATTATTAATACATTGTTCATGTTTGTATATTTATGTATGTACATGTGTATCTATACTAATATATAAATCTACAGTGATTTTTACGGATGTTCCGTTATAACTGCATTTGATTGACTTGAAACTTGGTATTCATGCAGAAAATACATGTACTTAATGGATAGGCTAATATTTATAGGAACGTTGGACTCTCTAATAATAATGACCATAAATAATAGTGTTTATTGTTAATGCCCAGCGAAACGGGCGAGTACAGCTAGTACTATATATGTGTGTGTATATATCTCTAAATTAAATAATATTAATTAAGTATATATTAAATCGATAGGTACAGCATGTGAAATTCATTTCCAAACGATTCTTGTCCACCTGATAGATGTTTGGAAGATATCGCTTTTAGTGATAAGACCGCCAATAATCCTTCTTTTGTATTTAATGTTTCGCATTGTTTATTCATTTTGTGTACTATAAAAAATACTATCTCTCTCAATAGTTAAACTTTTTAGTAATGTTTTGAGTATTTGTGTGATCTGAATCAGTGTAAAATCGATTTATGTACGTATTGTGATCATAGATCTCCTCATTGTAAAAAAGCCTAAATCGGTATGGACTATTTATTTAATGTAGGCAGATTTTTTTGTAATGGATATTCTCATCAGCCTGTATCTCTCTACTGGTGGATGTACACTTCTCCCATAGCTCGCCGCAATGAACGGTTCTCCGCCTTCCGCCTAAAGAATGAATGCGGAAGGCGGAATTAATAAATTACATCCATTACACATAGTTATACATTAGGTTGAATGATTTCCATGATTTTGTCTTGGTTTTTAGTTTGGATTGGATATAGGATTTACTATACGAAATTCATTTTATTTACAGCAACGAACACATGTTATTTATCTCATCAAATAATTTTGTTTTCGGTTATTATTAAGTTTATATGCAGTTTAGGTTATGTTTGTTTTTCGATAATATATCTTTTAATATAACATACCGTTTAATGGATTTAATGACATGTTGTTGGTTGTGCTTTGTTTAATTTATTTGCACGAAAAAAAGCACAAATTATTTATAAAAATAAAGTTCTGTGACACATGTGGATGTTTTCAATCTTATTAACATTTTTACAACGGTGTGATGAAGGTATCACATACTATACAGCCTAATCTGTTATATGAAAATAATATGAAAGCAATTGGAATGAAATGAGATTGGTTGTAACAAATTCTCAGTAAAGTGGTGGCTATCTATTGAGATTTGGTGGAAATATGAGGGTAGAAGTCGTGTGAATCATTTTATTTTGTTAATGTAATGTTTCTGTAGGTTTAAAAGTGTAACAGCGGTGGTTTATTAATCAGTAAACAAGAGAACCGCAATTTAAATATTCTGTAGCAAAATTTCTAACCTTTTAAGGGCTAAAATGGATTAGCTTAGATGAATAGCTTTTTTTAATACAGTTTTCTAAGTGTATGTAGTTTAACATTTATGCTATATTTAGGCATTAAAGATATTTTAATTTTTTACCTATAAATTTATTTGCGTAGAAGAAAATTTGTGTTGGCAAAGCGGATTGTTATGTAAACAAAATTGTGCGTAGTCATGCGTCTGCGTCCGCAAGATCCGTTGCTTTTTACTTTTTAAAGCAGTCGCGAATAAACGCTCGGATTAATCAGTTGTGCTATAATTTAACGATTATATTTATCTCACCTCCGATAACGCCCTGAACCATTATTGACCACTACCAAAACAGCTCCTAAAGGTACTTGCGTCCTTAGTCGTTCCTGTACTTAACACGGTAGCCCTTTTCCCCTTATCGTAGGTGTAGGTCATAGGACGATGTGCCTTTTTTATGGCATTGATGGGTGGACGAGTACATAGCCTGTTAGTGGCCAATCATACAGTTAAGTGATTACCGCTACAATGTAAATACCGCCACCCACCTTGAGATATGAGTTCTAAGGTCTCAGTATAGTTAAAACGGCTGCCCCTGCCTTCAAACCGAAACGCATTACTGCTTCACGGCAGAAATAGGTAGGGTTGTGGTACCTATTCGTGCGGACTCACAAGAGCTCCTACCACATAACTCATAATCACACATACCACATAACACGCCAAACAGAAGAAACGAATATCAAAAGACCTAGTGATATCGAGAACGCTCGAGAAGTGTAACGCCATCTATTGTTCAATAACGGAAACACATATTGAAACGACTAGTCCTACCGGGAATATTCTCGATAGTTGTAGACTTGTCGTGTCGACTATAAAAGTGGCAGTGGCAGTGAGTATTCGGATCACCTGAAGCGAAGCGAAAGAAGTGAATTACGAATTGTAAACTGTTCCTTACTTAAGTGTTTTAAGTGTTAAATAGAGTTTTAATTTGTACTTCGTTGAAAGTTTTATTTACCCCGAGCCCTAGCGCGTAACAATATTAAATATTTTTTTATTGCCCTTGTAGGCTAACGAGCATACGGCCTATCTAATGGTGAGTGGTTACCGTCGCCCATGGACTTTAGCAATGCCAGGGGCAGAGCCAAGTCGCTGCCTACCGCTAAGTACTCTCTACAAGTCTCGTTTGAAGTCGTCGTGGCTTGAAAGATAAGACGTCTGGCATACTCGTGTCAAGAGATGTGACTGCGCCCACGCTGAAGTCCCGGAGACAAGTAAAAAATGTGTCTATTGAAATAAGTATATAGCATGATTTCTTAGCGCCTTAGGCTAACAGTGAATCACTCCTCCTTGCCTCGATAATCCTCAATGCTGGAGGTCGTGGCCTTCCTTAATAAATTTCTTTACGATAATTCTGCGCCAGTCCTGCCTTGCGCGGATGACATCGTGAGATGTTGAGTAGAGCGTATCTTGTTCGACCAGTGCTTTGGACTCTACCTCTGGGTATTCTTCTACCTTGCCTGTGATCAGCAATTTTTCTAAATTGTCACCTCTCTTTCTCGAAATGCGTCCTGAATCAGTGAATAGGTAGGAAAATATAATATGAAATTTTACACACTTTTTTTATCTTACCTATTCTGATAGCCTTGAGAGGCTATTTCAGCTTCACCCTAACATGTAGGTGAGCTCACGGGGCTCAAACCGGAACTGTTGCTAACACTGGCCCTAGCAAGAGCAGTGCTTCGCAGAATCTACCGCCGGATCCGAAACGCGACCCACTGAGAAGATCCGGCGAGAAACTCAGTGAGTTGTTTTTATGGGCTAGTTCGCACATCGGAGTCGACGAGTTCGACGAGGACGGTGACTGGTGCTTGAAGAGCTTAAAAGCACTGAAAGTGGGTTCAGGGAGTCCGACAAGAAATGTTTTGAGCGACGATGGCTTTGCTAAGCCCCTTCGCCAGGGTTATATGTAGTTAGCGCTGTTAGCGGTGGCCACGATAAGAGCGCTATCAAAGCTTTGCATTTTTAAAGTATTTTTCTGACACTTCCCTAAGATACATAAGTATCGGTTCTAGGTTTACGTCGTCGTGCAGATCTACATTCCTCAAGTACCACGGTGATCATAGATCGAATTGATATGAAATCTATATACAATATAAATATAAAAGGAATGATGGATGAAAGGAAGAATGTATGTTCACCTAAAATTATCTTACGTAGTTAGATTCCTCAATCGTCGAATGGCTTTTATGTTTTAGTATAAAGTTGCATTTTATTGCGAGCGAAGCGACACGGCTGCAATTAGCTTAAACACAAAACCAAATCACCAGTCACCGTGCCAGGTTTAAGTCGATTTCAAAACCTCAATTGACGCTGCCTTACTGACGCTGACTTATTATAAAATCTCAGAAATGATTAACACGCAAATACAAGTTTTTTTTATAATTACTCGTAATATCGCCCTATCACGACCGTGAAAGAATAGGGTAGAATTGAGCGTGAATTAATAAATATCAACCTTGAAACGATAAATTTGAGAATCAAAACGCGAACCTTAAAACATTGTAAATTATTCAAACAAAGATCGCGGCTTTAATAGAATAAATTAAAATTCCAAATATGACCAACCAAAAATAAAACGAAATGAATGAACAAAAGAGGTTTCATTCATAAAAAATGTCTGCTATTCCGAAAACGTATTAGCTTGGGATTAGATGGTTTCTGTCACGGTCGGGACACGAACCTAAAAAATAGGCCAAGACGAAAGTATGCGCATGCCTGAAACGATTGATTTTCCCCCACCATGACGTCACAATATGTCCGCCGCACAGTTTTCACGGTATAAAAATAACATTCTCTATCAGTTTCATCTCAATAACACAGGCATATGTTAGAATATTCGAGAATTCGAATCTGCTATTCATATTATACAAAAAAGATTTGAATTCAATCCTGTGAATGTTTTTTGAAACTTGTTTTGAATCAGTGATACCGTAGCTAGGCGATCGTGAAATGTTTTAAGTTAATTAAAAAAAAAAAAAGGTTTATCCAACGTTACGAACATGATTTCACTAAAATTGCTATGTTTATGTAAGTAATTTATGTATACATATTTTTATTATTATTTACACGCTTTAAGTGTTATGTTGCTGCACATTGCATGGTTAATATCTTAAATTTTATGTAGTTTTTGAGTTAGCAGTATCCGTGCTAACAATGGCGATTCTTCGTGTAAATGCGATTTGACGTTGGAAGCTTAATTTTTTTTCCCAAAATCAGATTACGAGGTTGTTTAAAAAAAAAAGTCTGATATTTTCGTATCGTCTTTAGTTTTAATCAAATTTTTTTTTTTTTTTGTAATTTTATTAACTTTTGTACTCATTTTGATCCATCAATACAATCAAGCAAATTCCACCTTAAGCATTTAGAACTTAACTAGAGTAATGAAGGTAAGTTGTATCTTTTCTAGAGTATCTGTTTTACAGTACCTCTTTTAGAGGTAGAGTAGATGATTTTGTATTATCTGTGAGTCATAATTATATTACTTAGGTATCTATGGTTTGGGTAATTTGTTAGATATGAGTCTTCGACTAGGTCGAAGCGTGTTTTGGCCGCTTCTAGCGTTAGAGGTAGCACCTAATAGCATCGAGATTAGATGGGGTGGATACATCAGGACATGTCTACAGCGACTAAGATAGTTTGATGTTGCATTAGCCGATACCTAATTATAATTCTGAGGAGGTTCTCCGACGCTGTCTTTATATAATTAGGGCTCGGTTTGAGCTTAATATTGCCGTGAAGACTCTTCACGTACCACGTATTCCAACAGCTTTCGCGAGGACGCGGTATTGTAAAATTTAAATGCAGTGGTGTTAGTTTAGGGCCGCGTGAAGGAACCACACACTGGTTTAAGTCATCATTGGATTTATGAAAGTTTTGAGAAAAGTGCCTCCTTATCACGAAGATACAGTTTAGTCCACTTTCAGATCATGGCGTAGAGCCTGTTGTTGTTGTTGCAGTCCTAGGGGCCCCGCTGGTACATAAAGCCCTCACAAGTTGTCTCTACTTGACCTTGTCTCGGGCTTGTTTCTTGACAAAAATCCAGGCCATGTCAGCAGTCCTCATCTCGCTCTCCACGGTGCGTCGCCAAGTGTGAACAGGCCTTCTCCTGACACGTGGTTGAGGATAACACGTCTGATCGCGGTATGGTTCTCAGATGTATCATTAGACCCACTTTACGTCTTTATCACTATAATACGTCCTCCTGAAAATGAGCTGTGAAGAGTTCCCAACGAGTCCGTGACCGTTCTGTCCACGATCAGCAGAAATAGGTCCCACTATTCGAGCGCTGAGCACAAGGCACCCATGTGAATTAGTTTCTCGCAATCATGGAGTTAATAAGTACTCACAATACTAACTCTATGGTTGCAAAAGATAAAAAAAAAATCTTACCTCTATTTTAATTTATATTACTCTTTGTACAGCGAAATCCTTTTATTCGTCCCAATTAAACTTTACTCTGAAGTTTTTCAATTTCTAAACTAAATGTAATGGCGTCCCAGATTCGACTTTGCATTTCAATCTAGCAAGTTTTGCGGTTTGTGAATAACTAGGTTGTGTAGTATTTTCCTTCGGCTTTCGCGAGCCGCAGATATAATTAACAATACTTTTATGATGAAACTCGTGTGTAGTAGTAGTGTTCTAAAATAATATAATGACAATAAAAAAACGCAAGCTTAAACTGCAAAGATAGTTTTAGCAAATATGTTGTAATTTTGTTATTTTTTTTATTGCGTAGATGGGTGGACGAGATGTACCACTACCCTGCCTATTTCTGCCGTGAAGTAGTAATGCGTTTCGTTTTGAAGGGTGGGGCAGCCGTTGTAACTATACTTGAGACCTAAGAACTTATATCTCAAGGTGGGTGGCGCATTTACGTTGTAGATGTCTATAGGCTCCAGTAATCACTTAACACCATCTAAGCAATAAAAAAAAAACAAAAAGATATACTCGTATAGAGCTAGTTTTGTTTTAATGATATATGTAGTTACCTATCTGTTTTTAAACATCTAATAGTTTAAAGTAAATTCCTAAAATAATGAAAAGAGGAAAACTTTATTCTGTACTTTTTGATTTTTATGATACAATTTTTTAAATCTCTAAATTAATCTATATAACGGAACGTAATTTCCGAACGTGCGATACCGCCCCCGCCGCCGCCTTACCGCCCGCTGAGACAGAGCTCTCTGAGCGCGAAAACACACGCCCTCAGCGCGCGCGACGACGACCAGTAAAATTTTGCGAGTCTTAGTGTAACTGTACGATTCTCAACTCATTTTGTATTTTGTTAGTTATTGTGTCGTTTTTTTTATATTAAACCTCATACCAAATCAGTGTAAACATTATTTATATATCATCTTCGCCAACAGCCCGGAACAACGAACTCACGAAAACTCACAAAAGCCCGCCAGTCGGACTTGTAGTGTTAAAAATGGCGCCCGAACGTTTAGCTGTGAAGTGATATTTATATGAAATTATTGTGCCTACATGAACGATTTGTGTTTTCCTGACTTTACCGACTAAACCGTCGTCAAATAATGCCGCCGAAGAAGATGCCGAATTCCGAGGAGCGCGACGCGAGAGCCGCGTCGCCGCCCCACGCGCCGTCGAGTGACGCGCCGCCCGCCAGTGTTTGCTTCCGCCCGGAAGACATCACCATGCTGATCGACACCCTTCAACGAACGCAGCTAGACGCGTTCCGGGAGCTGTTAGATAGCGTCAGGCAGTCGGCGACTCCTACATTCGACCATCGGCCCGCCAACAACTTCAGCCGCTGCAAATCTGTATTCAGCGGACGCGCAGACGAGTCAGTAGAAGGTTTTATCGACGCAATAGAATCGTACAGAGACGCCGCCAATGTTCCCGATGACGTAGCCGTAAAAGGTATTTCCATGTTGCTGACACACACCGCCGCTACCTGGTGGCAGGGTATCAAGCATCAAGTTTCTACATGGGAAGACGTCATCTCAAATCTACGAAGTGCTTTTGGTGATCGCCGCCCACCCCACAGAATTTATGTCGACCTATTCGCAGACGGCCAGCAGCCTATGGAGAAAACCGACCTGTTTGTCGCCAGGGCTCGAGCACTCCTCGCGAAGCTACCTCGAGGCGACCTATGTGAAAAAGTGGAGCTCGATATGATATACGGATTACTGCATCATAAAATTCGTAAACGCCTTCGTAGAGAGGAAATCACCAGTTTCAATGTTCTCCTGCAAAAAGCACGAAGTATTGAGGATTCTACGAAAGAAGCGCATACTTCAAACGCCGTCGCCGAGACATCAAAGGGTGCCGCCGCCGCCGCCCGCGCTCGACTCGAGCCGCCGCGGCCTGCAACGCAGCGTGTACCTACGGCCGCTGTAGAAGTTTCCCCGCGCCAACGTTCGTCAGGCGATAACGCCGACGCCACTCCGACCGCCGAAAAACCCGAGAAACGTCGATACTGTGTTTATTGTAAAAGTTACGGTCATACGCGTGATCAGTGTCGTAAATTGTTATTAAAACAAACCGCGAATGACAGTAACGATAACGTAGTTAGTAAAGTAAATAATATTAAATGTTACGGTTGCGGCGCGAGCGGAGTCATACGTTCTAATTGTTCCAAATGTAGTTCAAATTTTAGCGCGGTCGATTTTATTCAAATACCGCGAACGCGATCGCGAGGTACAACGACCGCTGAGACATCAGCTGTTGGTAAGCCGTCCGCCCAGGTGAGTAATTTGGCAAGTTTACCTATGGTTTTTACTGGGGCTGTACCTGACTTGTTTTTATCCAGTAGTGTTCATACCGAGCGCCCAAATTATGTTAATTCATCGCTACACACTGCTCAGATAAGTTTGGTATCATGTAATAATGTAAGTACACCCCCCGTAAATAATAATTTTGCCCGTAAATGTAATGTAAACTCGTCCCATAAACGTGTTGATAAACAAATTGTTTCAAATTTGCCGCGTTCCGACGATACGCCTTTGTTTACATACTTATCTCGTCCTGTTAAGCAGGGGGAGTGTTTTAACCGCACTCATGTACCTAGCGAATTGAAATCAGTATCTCCTAGGGAATTTTGTGTTAATCAGTGCGTCGTAAATAATAGACATAAATGGAAAACGAAACGTTCTCGTCAGTGTCCATCACGTGGTCCGTTACCAACTAGGGCGACCATGATTTTTTCAGGACAAAACCAGAAATTCGATAATAAAAGTAGGGTGACCAAAAATTTTTCAGGACACAACCTGGAAAGTTGTGCACCGGTTAAAGGGACCACAAATTTTAATTGTGATAGTTTTGTCACCTTTTCGTCTGTAACTTCTTCGCAAAATGGCAACGCGCGACGACCTATTTTAGGTATAGAGATTTTAGGAATCCGAGGTAGAGGTTTAATCGACACCGCAGCCAAGCGAACTGTTGCCGGTTCTTCACTCTACGCCCTACTGCAACAGCATAATCAACCTTTTGTGCGTAGTTCTATACGTGTTAAGCTTGCCGATGGTTCAATTCAAACGCGACAAATGTTGTCAACGACACTTGATGTAAAGTTATTACCGGGTAAAGTTATTCCCATGGAATTTGTCGTATTTCCGGACGCCCAGGATAATGACACATTATTGGGTGTAGACTTTTTAGTAGCAGCTGGTTTAGCCATCGACTTCCATACTTCGACATGGCGCTACCATGGTTCTGAACGAGTTTTTCCATTGGAGTTCGAGTACCCCAGTGACCTCACGCCTTGTTCTGCTGCTGATTTCTTAAGAGAAGACGAGGGAACTATGCTGTGTCCTCCAGAGCGTTAACCGCCTAGCTTCTCTTCTGCAGTGCAACGAGGATGTCTTCAGACCAGGGGGAGCCCCAATGCCTTACGCTGAACATCATCAGGATGATAGGAAGTAGCAAACCGACAAAATTCAGTTATCTGGTCCCAGTTACCAAGTAGGTGATCTAGTCCTTCTCTCTACGCACTTGTTAAGTGATGCCGCCAAAGGTAGAACGAAGAAGTTCATGCCTAAGCGTGACGGACCCTACCAGATTAGTAA